CACTGGATGGTATATTACGCTGTTTTTTTTCTGCTTCGAATAGTTCTCTCTTTTTTCACCATACCTGTGTTTGCATCACTGCATTTTAACCATAAATCCTAATGCTCTTTTTTTCTGATTTACAGACATCTGACATTGCACAGCAACGAATGAGAATGTGTCTGGAAGGTGTGCCTTTATTTGTCCGTGACAGTGCACAGAAGATTTTCCTGAAATGCCTGGTGTGTACAGTATGGTTGTCCATTAATCATAAGTCTACATTTAATGTCATACAAGTGCAGTTATTAAGTTTTCCTATAATCATAGATAAAACTGTTTTGAAGATGAAGCCCGATTCTCAGGATAAATACTAGACCTGCTACATAACTACTAGTGAACTAGTTGTAGAACAGAACAGTTAAAATGTTCACAGTAATTATTGTGTCATTGCTGAGCAATCAAACCAGTGTTTTATTTGCAGTTATATATTATCCTTATTTGGTAAATAATAATTGCTTCTCTGCTTTCTACATGCAGGACACTGATCCGGAAGAAAAGCAAACTGCTGGTGTCAAGATGGGAGTCCTCACTGTTCTCGTAGATGATGGTGGACCTACCCCGTCTCAAATGGTCAACAGTATTGATGTTGTTTTGGAAGAGACAATTGTACTCTCGGATCTACCAGACATCCCAACTGCATTTGTATACCTTTTTGGTCTACTCTATGCCCTGAACATTGAGTTTCCAAAAGAACACAAGTACACTTTTGAGACTGTTCAGCACATCTTCATGGGACTTTCCACCAGTTGCTCACAGCGGGTCAGGAGTTTGAAAACAAAGCTCTTAATCTAAGTGAGCATTGGCAAATTGTCAAATCTTGTAAACGGATTTACAAGATATTCCAATTGAATTTGCCTGCCTTCACCGCTGTTTGTGACTTGAACATTGAGTTCCCAAAACCACAAGTACTCTTTGTTGGGGAAATATTTTCCAAAGCCCATAACTTTGACCCAGTTTATCAGTTCATACTGTCCTGACTGAGCACACACACCTGTAACCTTGGCTGCTGTGCTCTCAGTGTTTTGTCTCCCTGTTCCTGCCTGTTGGCGTCAGCTGATAGAGGTGTTATGATTCTATCTTGTTATGCACAATGTTGATTATTCTCTCTGAACTAGCTATATACATGGGTCTGGGTTAGAGTTCTTCAGAATTGACGTGGCAACTCTACCGTGAAGTCAGAACCTCTGGCTCTTGGACTTGTTTTGTGAATCCTCCGGCCGAAACTCGTAATAAACCATCAGTGTTTGACATCAAAGCTCCAGCTCTCCCCGTGTCTCCTTCCTGAGTCGGTGACTCCCACTGCATTGCTACACAGAAGTTTCTCCCACACTCTTTTGAAGCTGATACAAAATATTACAGAAACTTGAAAACCAAGTTCTCTCTCTAAATCACAAGCTAATATTTTCTTTATTTTTATTTCAGCTCCCATGTCATGCTTTTCCGGTTATTACCCGTCCCCTTGTGTGTTATGAAGGTTTTTATGCATGTAAACGGTGTGCAGAGTCAAAACCCTCAAAGTACACCCTGTAGCGAGTAAAACTCTAACACAGAAAATACCTCCCCAAAACGCCTCGTTGGAGATACCTCACTGCCCATTTGAGTCTTCCATTTAGTTCCGGGTACCGCCTGATGTCATGCGGTACCCGGAACGAAATGGACCAATCCCGAAGAGCTATGGCCACACCAGCAGCGGCGTGTTCCTCCTCCAGAGGTTCGAAGAACCGGCATTTCACAGACGAAAGCTTCCAAAACATTGCCCAGTTTGAGGCCGGATATGCACAGCTTGTTTGGACCGTTTGGAGCAGGGGAAGATCTGGGTATACAACCTGTAAGTTTGCATTGTTATTTGTGTATTTATCAAACAAGACTGTTTAAATGTGTAACTGTGTTGGACTGCTAAGCCATTGACACAGTGCTAACTGTGCTAACTAAGTTGCTAGAGTTTCCATATATCAACTCTAATATCAGCAGATGGCCTTGCATACATGTATCTCATAGCAGGAGAATGTCTGCATTCACACACAAAATACCTATTGACAGTATACTGCGGGTGATTTGCCGGTCAGTCGCGAAACGTAATTACATTATAGCTGGCGTAGCGATCTAACACACGGAGCTTGAGCTAGTTTTGGTCAGAAAAACATTTTTGTGATGCTACGTTGCTAGCGTTTAAATATATCAACTACAATGTCAGCAGATGGCCTTACATGTTTGTCATGGCAGGAGAATGTCTGCAGTCACACACACGGAATACTCATACAGTATACTCCGGTTTACCGTACATTGTGACCGTACATATACTGCATGTAGCTAACGAGGCTAGCTGTATGCTAGCGCAAAACAATGTATTCATGCAAGTTACATTGTATGGTAGCAGAATACCCGTATACGATTGCAATTATAAACACGTTATTGCTAGCCTAATATGAACCACTAGCTTTTGTTCATAGTAGTTTTATTACACTGCATTATAGTTGCCTTTCCTACAAGCTAACGTTCATATCGTGTTAGCTACCAAGGTAAACAAAGCTAGGTTAGCATATTAGCAGGCAAGCTGTTCATTACACAACTACTACTAACGAATCTAAAACAACTAAGTTTCTCTAATATTTTGTGATTTGCATTTGATTTCGTCCAGCCAGATCCTGGCGGACAATCCATGACGGGGAAGGGATTCTACTACTACTGAGGCCTCGTGCTAAAAGGCACCGCACCGCACCGGCTGTGCGCAGGCAAGAGGAGGAGGAATGGATGATATACCGTGTATATATGTATATTTATGTTCATTTTGTACATTTCTAAAAATAAAGTTTAATGGAAATACTTAGTAGGCCTATCCTTTCTTCCCTGAATTCATATATAGCAAACCATGATTTGATTTCTCATCAAACAGTAGTAGTTTATAACAGGTAAAAATAACTTACTCTTTGTTATGAGAGTAGCTCGTAGGCCACAACGGAAAGACAAGGAGACATACACGAGTTTACAAAACCACGGCACATTTATTGTGGTAAATGCAAAGATAGGTGGTTGAGAGGATCGCAGAGTTAGTCTTCCTGCAGCCGCTTTGGAGAGAGACTGGGGCCGTAGTGTCCGGAGGTGTCCGTGATCGTGCTGATTAGCCGCTTCAGCTCCACCCCATCGTAAGACAAAGGCCCTGGGGCCGTCACACTCTTCTATAACAACAGTTAAAAATATATATGTATATAAAATATACCGCTGTACCGACGCCATGATAAGACTGATGTTACGCTGAGAGCAGCCGGGAAAAGCACTGACATGGGCGCAGCCTCTCTGGTGGTTGACTAATCAGAACGAGTGGCCGAGCTGACCAATCGGAGCACACTAGGCTCACAGGGAGGGGGGGGGCAAGAGCTCCAACGAGTCGTTTAGTGGAGAAAGTGAATACTGCTGAATACACATGCTTGACAGAGATGCTGTATGCGAAACCAATGTGAGTTTGGAAAATTGCACAGTATAAATCTATTTTAGTATACCTCAACAATGTAATTATGATCAGTGGAAATGGCCATGACATGGGCCCTTTAAGCTGGCTGGCTTACTTTGCGCATGTAACATTTCAAGGACTAAGTACTTTATCATATCCACTTTCTAGGCTGTGACCTTTGTTATTACACGATATATTGAAAACAAGGGAAATTTGAAAGGAGAATGCTCCATCAAATTCCCCCTAAAACATGTTGTTTGACTAAGAAAAAAGACGGTTTACTTTGGAAACTGCTGAAAAATGAGTCAAGTTTAGCAAATTCTTTATCTTTACAGTTAAAATGTTATCTAGTGACATGAACATCTTGCAACATTTTAAAAGACATGTTCTCACTCTTAGAGCACAAGCATATTTTTTCTCTAACATTTTTTCACATTTTTCTTAAGCTGGCTTGCCTACTCGTAAGATTTCAAGGACTAGTTACTTACTACAATTGTTGTCTTGCAGCTTTTTTAAAGATGGAGCTGTTTTTTTGTTGTTGTATAAAGCCATATGAGCTTTTACTAAGTAGTGGAAGAGTTGGAAATGGTGTGATCCCTCAGAGTTGTGTTGGGAGAAATCACTGGCTGTTTACATGCCTTTTGTCTTGCAAGATCTTTGGAAGCTTCTGTGATATGTACAAACTTTAAAAAAGATACGTTTTACAGATTGTTCCTTTTACAATATCGTTGTTGTTTGGTAACTGTTAGTGAAGATGGTTTTATAACTTGGATAACTTTGCCATTTGTTATTCCATAGCTGCTATTGTTTTGACAGCAGGCTTATTCAAAGGGTGGTTTGCACATTTATGGATTTCATCCACATTTGTTATGAACCCTAGCCTTTTGGAAGAGTTTTAGTAATGGTGTATTTTCAATGTCTAGTTAATGTTACACATTAGCATATTCAGTATCATTCAAGTACTGTAGTAATCGTTTCAATCAGAACATAAAACTTTTGGCAGGAATTTCCAAATAATGTACTTGTACATCTATTTAGAAGTTTAGAAGTCTCACAAAGATGACCTCTAAAATTACTTGATCTGAAATATATTATATATATATTATATTATATTTATACATATTATATCATTATATTATATATTAATTTCCTGTAGTTTCTACACAATGCAAGCAAATTCAACACTTTCGAACAGGAAATAATTTCAACTTGAATGATGCACAAAATAATTTACAGTTTTAAGAATGTCTAATATTTGAATAAGAATTTCAACAAACTTAGTATTTGTTTTTTACAGTATTTTTATAACAGAGAATTTGTTGGCAATTCTAAGTTTGTAATACAAATCTGAAGTTTGTATACATTTGATACATTTTCTGAAACAAAAATATTAACTTTGCACAACTTTCACTTAATGGAATTGTATGTAGTACTCAAAATAAGAAGTTTTTAAACGTATCAAAGATACATTTTCCAAACCAAAGATAATAAGTTAGCACAACCTATACTTATTTAAAATGTTTAGTATGCAGAACTCCAAACTTGAAGTTGTACAAAATTTGAATGAGTTATCTCGACAAAATATAATTAGTTGACTCAATTGAAAACAGAAACTTACAAATTTGAGTTGGCCTCAAAACTTAAAAATCTTGTGCAGCCTGTTGCCTTGAGTTGTCCTAACTTTTTTTTTTTTTTACAGTGCACTGGTTGCAGCTCGGCACCATGGTATAAACCCAACTTCAGTGCAGAACTCCAGGTGAGCTAACTAACACGATAACATGAAGATGAATACATTAACGCGGTGCAGTCCTCACTGAAAATGTGTCTTACAGGTGACGCATTTTGAACAATCTTCACAAAGCTATCCGCGTCAAGGCAACCTCAACAAACAACAAACAAAGGTAAACAGATGGAAGCCATGTGTAAATGTGAAGAAGACTGTGAAAGTACAATGAAAGAAAAGACAAAACAGGATAACCTTTCTTTCTTTCCAGCCTGATCTCAAGTCAATGCAGTCTCTGACAGAGTGCCAGCAGCTTCTTCAAAAACTGGCAGAGGAGGTGAACAGCATCGCTCAGGTACCACAGAAAACATTCAGTCCTCTTGAAGACTACTTTCTTTTACAGAAATGTTATATTACTGTCACTGGGGTGGGTAAGGAAGGCAGGACCCATATATATATATATACTCCAGGTATAAGAGTGCAACAAAAGGCGAGCTTTATTAAATAAAAAAGTGCAAAAATAAGTAAGGTCAGACAAACAGAAAAGTAGAAAACAAAAACTAGGGAAGACACATGGCGCATTTCCACTACACGGTCGGCCTCGGCCACACTCGGTACGGCTCGGTACGGCTTGGCCGCGTTGGGCCTTAACAGGGCCGACTCACTTCATGCTGCGCTTCCATTACAGTTTAGGAACTGGGGTAGTTACTATAGTAACGCAGTGTAGGCGGAGCCGTGACGTCATCTTCAATGAGAAATCCAGAAACACAACACAGCCGTTAGCTGTGAGCACTCAGAGCTCACAGCTCCTTATATATGTTCAGAAACTCGACAAAAGTTAAACAAGTACACACCACAGACTGCCTGTGTCATGGTGAATACAGTCGCTGCTTATTTATGTCTGTATAGGCCGTTGTTGTGAGTGTGGACGGTCGGGGGCATATACTGCGTTAGCTTAGCCAATCTCCATCTAGAAAAACACGAATTTTAAAAGGTTTTTCGCCTGCCGTCTGTCTGCAGACTTGACAAAGCATTAATTCATGGTTTTTACTAACCGGTATCAGTATGTTGTTACTTCGGCATCATTTTGAAACGTGTATTACAATTAAATCACGGTCAAATATGTCCATCTTGTTGTAGTTCTAGCCCTCTTGCCAGCGCTCCTCTCTCTAGTTTAGCATACTCAGCCCGACTCAGCCCTGTTTGTTGGCCCCGATAGAACCACAATTTTCTAGGGCCAGAAAAGAGGGGAAAAAGTGGCCCCGCGCCGTGCCGCGCCGGAACGAGGCCTAGTGGAAGCACAACCAAAAAAGGGGACGGCACGACACGGCACGCTTAAAGCGAGCTACGCGCTGCAATGGAAATGCGCCATTAGAAGACACAGGAGGGCCGATGAGGGAAATCCAGAACATGCAGACAAGAGAAGAGGAACCACACGAAGGAGAGAAGACGACAAGGAGCACAAGGGAAGGGCAGCAGGTGAACACAATCTGACCATCACTGGACAACTAAAAGACAGGAAGTAGAACCTGACAACACACAAGAGGGAACATATATAACATATATAAAGTGTATTGCACATTACGTTTTTTTTTCTATAGTCAACAGCAAGTTTATTGCACCCGTTTTCTTATGAGAGAGTTATGAGCAGTGTTATTGGACAGCAATGTCTTCCAGGGGCAAAGGGCAATTGCAGAGGCTTTGCACATAAAGGGGCCCTATTCTGCTCATGTTCAGGTTCATATCAGTATTTAGTGACTCTCCTGTGACGTGTTTCAATGCTTTAATGTTCAAAAAGCTCTTCTCATACTGCCTGTGCTGCAGCACCTCTTTTCACCCTCTGTCTGAAACCAGAGCCCAGTCCGCTCTGATTGGTTAGCTGGCCGGCTCTGTTGTGATTGGTCAACAGCTTAGAGATGTCCCGCCCCTTAGCCTATCAAGTGCAATGTGTTGGAGCGCTAGCCAATAGAAGCGCAAGTGTTACATAGTGATGTCACTATGTAAGTAAAGTAAACAAAGGAGTCCAATGATGGAGTTGCTGGCAGGGGGGGAACAGGGATTTTAGCCTTTGCAGTCCATTTACATGCACAACCTAACACGCTAGACGAATAACAAAACAGCAAAGAATATCATGGGAAACTAGTATTTAGATCATGTCTGGCCAAGCTGCATTACTTTGACTATTTAAAAAAAAGAACCGTTAAGATGATTAAAAATACAATTGTATTACATTCCCTTGTTTCAGGTGGAGCGTGTCAGTGAGAGGGCTGCACCAGGGGGGGGCAGCAGAGAGCCAAGCAGCCTGCAGAGCAGCAGGAGGCTGATCCTCAAATGGGCCGAGGAGCTGGAACTAAACATGGTTATTCACCCTTTGATGAAATCATTAACCCTCCATATTTCCCTTTCTATCGTCTACAATCGTATTGGCCTGACTTTCTCTTTTTCTACTTACAATAGAGCAATAGTTTTTTTAATGTTGTCAAACATTAAGCACTGTAAGTTATTTCTGTATACTGAGGCCCCTTTCTTGTTGTAGCTATAAGTCATGGTTATATAGTTAAGTAACTCTGGTTCTCCATTTAATGTATTCCCCAGGTAAAAAAAGAAACCAAGCCAACAGATGAAAACAAAACAAGAAGAGATGATCCAGGAGAAAAAGAGAAGACAGATCTGGAAAAAGACAATGAAAGGCTTCAGCAGTGGGCAGTGGAGCTGCTGAAAATCAAAGAGGTGTGTGTGAGACAAATATGAATCAATTCCTCTTAAACCAAATCTTGAAGGTTCACTTTCCGTGTGTGTGTGTGTGTGTGTGTGTGTGTGTGTGTGTGTGTGTGTGTGTGTGTGTGTGTGTGTGTGGTGTGTGTGTGTGTGTGTGTGTGTGTGTGTGTGTGTGTGTGTGTGTGTGTGTGTGTGTGTGTGTGTGTGTGTGTGTGTGTGTGTGTGTGTGTGTGTGTGTGTGGTGTGTGTGTGTGTGTGTGTGTGTGTTTTCCAGTCTAACGGCGTGTCTGATGAGGAACTGAAGAAGCTGCTGTATCCCAGAGGACGCAAAGATTCAAAGATGGCCGCCATCCTCCCTCTGCTGGAGTTTGTGGCTTGGTCCCTACTGTCAGAGGACACTGAGGTGTGTACGAGAATGTATGTCTCTAATGACACGAGACAATATTCTAAGAGTCACTTCTGATTGATGAATATGACCCTACAGGAGGTTGTGTCCAAGCTGTGGCTGCCAACCAAACAGAAGGCCTGGAGGACAGGAAGTGGAAGCCCCAGATACATTCCTAACTCAGGTGACACTGCCTGTGGTTAGAAAAGTCTTTGAAATAAACCCTCATTTTGATCCCAGATATCTTAACAGTCACACGTTAATAGCACAATGGATTTCAGTGGATGGATGCCCCAATAGGCGCATTCACACCGGAGTACTTTGGAGTACTTTTCCCACAATAGTTCATCAGAACTACGATATATTTGCGTTCACACCAAAAAGCCCCAGGAACTAAAGTAGTTCAAATTAGTTCATCTGACCCGCTTTCCAGTCCCTGCTAGAGAGCAGGGACTGTTGTGGGAGAAAATAGTTCGTACGTCTGATTGGCTGTGCGGAATGCAAACCACGCCCGTTTGACTCTGAATTTTTTTTTGTAAGCGGCCATTGTATTTGCTCGCTTCGGCCAGCGCACCCGAAGAGATTACTTTTGTGAAAGCAGTTATTATAGCAACACTAAATAAATCATCGGAGCGGTGGAGTGATGAGGATGTGTCGGCGCTTCTGGCGATTTACTCGGAGGACGCGAAGCGCCGCATTCAGAAGCTTCTACTGAATGCAGTTTCCATGGCTCAGCAAAGTTAGCAGACCTGGCAAAGTCATGTCGGGACGACTACGAAGGTAAAATAAAATACATGCACTGCACTGTTTTAATCTGCACAATACTGGTCTTAGATGTACTTTCATTTGCTCAGTAGATCGAGCTAGCCATGCTAGAACTTGCTATCATAGGTCCAAGATGGCTAACAACATCTAGCTAGCTAGCTATTCTCAGCCATGCCCGCTATGAACACGTTTTGACTTGTGAATAAGTGTGCAATGTTCTGTAATTTGCTTCACTAACTCATGGCACTAATCGTGTGTTTCAGGCGAGGTGTTTCTCTCTGGATTAGAAACTAGTTTTCCCCTCCGGGATAAAAGGATAATATAACGTTAGCAATTAGCATGCTAGCTGGACATAATGCTACCTCTAACAATACATTGTAGTTGCTATAATTTCAAGTCATTTGCAACATTAATTCTACATGTTAATGGTAAAAGCTTAAACAGTTGATTACCTGCATGCCACAAAGACTGATGTTCTAATATTTTTGCACATTTAAGTAGAAATGTAATTGAAATTCTATTTATTTTTCCTTTTTTTTATTGATTGTTATAATTGTACTCAGCCATGTTATGTTAGATGTCAATCCACTTACACTGTAACTACTCTGGCCTTGAAAGAAGGTTACACATCTAACTGATGTCCACTAATCCCTATAAAACAAAGTTCAAGCATACATTAAGCACAAAACAATAAATAAGGGCACTTTGATATTTATTTTTTATTTGATATTATTTGATCCTATCTTATCTTCTACTTTACACCTGCATTTTGTACACTGTCCCTGCCTGCACCATGTCCAATGTTGAACAATGTTGTCTCGTTGTTGCGATTAAACTGATCTTGTATCTTACTTATTTCACCTTAGGAAAGCGGGCACGCGATGACAGCTTCCTTGACACCATCATGGCGATGGACTGCCGTGCCATGGTCAGCAAGGAGAATGAGGACCTGCGTGCCAAGGAGATGCACGACGAACGGCTGCTGCATTCACACAAGGCCCAGGAATCGGACGACCAGCTGCTCATGGTGATGCAGCTGGCGGCGGCGCGCCAGGTGGAGGTGTCGGCGCGCCAGGTGGAGCAACAAAATACCTTTCAGGCTGGGCTTCTGGCAGTGCAAAGCGAGCTGATTAAATCCAACAGGCCTTCAATAAAAAAATTAAGAAAAACTTGTCGTCGTTGATAAACTGTACAATGACTTGTTGGGAGGCGTGTGGTGCAGTGGTCTGGTGCGTTAGTGTTCGGATCAGGGGAGCACAGGTTCAAACCCCACTGCAGTCAGCATGTCGTTGTGTCCCTGGGCAAGACACTTCACCCCAAATTGCCTTCACCTGGGACAGTTCATTTTGTATTATTGTGATTATATATATATATATGCCACTGTTATTAATACTGACACTTCACTTTGCACTAAGGTGTGTCTGCTGCTGAGCCTATCTATTGTTATTATATATATATATATATATATATATATATATATATATATGTTTGATACTACTGACACTTTATTTGATATTGAAAATGTTAACTTCTATTTACATGCATACGACACACCTGGGACAGCGTGATGCTGTTATTGATATTGTCTTGAGTGTGCAATAAAAGAGAACCTACATGGCGATTAAACAGAGCCTGTATCTTACATTTTTCATTACATTTCATGTAACTAAGCTTGCTTATTATTCTGATACCATCATGTTTCATCGGTTATAAACTGGCGAAGCTTTATTTATTGTGGCTTTCAAAAAGATAATTTCATTGTATTTCAAAATGGTGTCCAACACAAGCACTATTTATTTATAGAAAGATAAATGGTTAAGTTTGTTATTACCAGTGTTGTGAGTTCAATATTTTTAATTAATTATAAAGGGAACATCTTAGGAGTTAGTGTAGTGAGTTTCAGAGCAGTGTAATAATTATTTGACCTAAAACTAAATGTTTTTATGAACATGGGGATTTGCTAACTTTTGATTTCCCCCATTTTACACGACACAAATGGAGGCCACTATGGGCCACAACTAACACGTAGGTTTCTGTAGGGTTCATGGCAGACGGATGCAGTTGCTCTCAGGAGGATATATAATAAAGGTGTGTTAGCTGCTGAGCCTATTTAGTGTGCATACGACACACCTGGCACAGTTTATTCATTTCACACGTAGCGTAGCGCGTGCATGTCGTCGTCCAATCCTTTTGTCAATCCTTCTTAACCGCCTTCGCTTCCGAATCAGCATTGCTATTGCATTTGACTGGTCGACGATCTGTATTTGTGTTTGCTTAAATAACGCAGACGAAGCTCATGTCTGAGGTCGGAAGGTAAACAGACGCCTCATATACAGCAGGTGGGCGCGGGAGGTTTTTCTTCTTCTTTTTCTCTCGGTTTTTTGGCGGATTGCAACTTTAAGGTGCATACCGCCACCTACTGTACTTGCCGTGAAGTTGTTTGCGGCCTGCCAGTAAACCCAAAGCAGAAGAAGAAGAAGTGACGTCAGCGGTTCATTTGCCTAATCCACCCCCAGGAACTCATTTTGGTGTGAACGCGATCTGCTTTAGTTCATCAGAACTAAAAGAGCTCTCATGAACTTAAGTTCGCATGAACTATTGTGGGAAAAGTACTTGGTGTGAACGCGCCTATTGATATGCCTTTTGGTGGGGACCTAGAGTGTGTTGATAATATTTATATAATTTTGGAACTAATAAATACAAAACAAATGATAAATAAATATTAGGAACATAGTAATATTTTTTTAAATGTGTTATAAGTAATAAACTGTATAAATAACAGGCTTAAGGAAGTGTCTTAAAATGATTTAACCAATCAAATTAGTTTCTGAAAAAAATGTGGTCATGTTTGATTTCTGGACTACAATAGGAGATAGAAACCTTATTTTTTCCCTCAATGAATATGTTTATACATTCGTAGATTTGCATGTTTTTCATGCTTTTAAATGTATGCATAAAGTTATAGACCATTTGTAACAAAAATAAATGTTGCGTATGCATAATGGTATATTGTATTGTCTTTCAGTGTGGGAGTGGATTCAGAGCGCCCAAGGTAATCTGGATTTATATATTATAGGTGGTCTACAACATGAGATTACAACATTGAATTACTGCTTGTTACAACCTGCTGTTACTTACAATATTCCTGAATTTGAATCCTAGTCTCGGTGCGGTTGGACCTCAGAACCAGTCATCCCTGGCTGGATGTGTCCTCAGATCGCCTGAAGGTCCGAGAGGCAGCAGTGTCCTCCACTGATGTCCCAAACTACAGCCAACAGTCTGCTCAGAGGCCCTGTGTGCTGGGGGACATTGTCATCACCGAAGGGAGACACTACTGGGAGGTGGAGGTGTCCCCTAAGGGCAGCTGGAGAATAGGTGTGGTGTCAAAGACTGCTCCCAGGAATCTAAAGTCCACCATGACTCCCATAAGTGGATACTGGACCCTGTGGAGGGGCGCCAGTCTGTGGGCCTGTGCCGAGAGACCCACTAAGCTGCGGAGGGCGGCTCCCCCCCGAGTGATCGGGGTGTTTGTGGACTCTGAGGAGGGTCAGGTGTCTTTTTATGATGCTGAGAGAAGGGTTCACATTTATACTTTCTCTGATGTCTTCAAACACAGCCTCATCCCTCTGTTCAGCTACCTGGATGGAGACACGCTCCTTAAAATCATCCCAGCACAGATTTCAGAGAAGATGTGACTAATATGAATCAATGTGACGAAATCAGACATGGTGGTCCTAGAATAAGAATACACATCTCAGTACTTATTTTGATTTAAATATAATGGATTTAAATGCTTACTAGGAACACTTTATTTTGAATCGTTTATTATTGTAGCTTTCTTTCACAACTGCACTTACCAACTTCCTGTTTTTTTTTATATTAAATAAAATGAATTATTTCAAGCAACGTTTTATCCATCTTGTTTAATAAATTCTTAAATGTAAACAGTGTTTAACTATTATTGATTTGCATGTGTCCTCAATCTTTTCCAGAATCCTGTAGATTGTGAAGTCAGCTAAGGTACATGACAGATGTTAAGTTGTTTTTACAAAATGTGTTACCGCACATCCAGGACAGATTTGTGGGTGGGATCAGCATACTTTTTCAATTCCACACAAATACATGTGAAGTCATTTAACTTGTGTTGTGGAAATAGTCCTTTAGAGGTTTATAAGTAGATTTGGGACATGTAATGTTTATTTTGGTTAAAAAAAGGTAAACTTTATCCTCAATTGATAGATTCTAATATCATTTATAACATTACAAATTATATATAAGTGACAGGAAAGGTTTAAGATCTGAGAAATGTATTAAAGGTCCCCTATTATACTGTTTTTCATCAATATATTATAGGTCTCACATATATACAAAACATGTATCTGAAGTGTTTGGCTCCAAATTCCAAACAGATCATTGCAGCATCCCATAATCCCCTCTGTTTCAGCCCTGTTTCAAAAGTGCTGATTCTGTGTCTGTTACTTTAGATGAAAATAAGGAGCCACTCCCCACGCCCCTCTGAGAGATATTTGGTTAAAAAGAACACAATGGTGCTCTAGGAGGAGATTCAGGTGATAAGGTGGGGGGGTGTTATCTTGGTTGGTGATTGGCTAATGGTTACACAAGCCAAAAAATCGTTATGACATCATAAAGTGGCCAAAATCTGATCAGCTCATTTTCAGACAGGTTTTTATATAAATGGATCAGGACAAAAAGTGAGAGAATCTTTTTTCCTGAAACTTTCAGAATCTCTTTACACAGAGGGGACACATGTTGATGTAGAAAAGACATGAAAAAGTGGATTTTGCATAATAGGTGACCTTTAACTCAGTCCAATGTATAGGCTTAAATCTAAAAACTGTGCTTTATATACAGCAAGCAATCTCTGTCCTTTGCCCCTGGATTCCGTTTACGATACAAATCTTTAATAGAGGAAGAGACATCAGGAAGATCAACATGTGTAATAAAACAGTTTCCTGGTTCCCAGAACTGTTCATTGTGTTAAATGAGTGTGTTGTCTGTGAATGTGTTTATTGGCCTAGCTTCAATAACTGATATGTGATGAACTGGAGGCGTGAATAGGACTTCATTTCACTGCTCCACAACTCTTGAGCATCATCTTATTGAGCTTTTCCAAAGAAGGCTGAATATTAAAATGCACCACCAGCAAAACACTTAAATAATTAATCAATAAATCTAAAGACCCCCAGTCTCTATACAACCTCATGCTTGCATCTTTAAATACATTCTTTGAACAAGCAGTTGTTGTTCCTGATAAAACATGAACACGGTCATTAAAGCTGAATATTTGTATTACATTACATAAGGTTAGTGCAGGCTGTTGTGTGAGATTGTGTGTGTCCTATAAACTGTTCACTCTGTGTAAACTGCTGAATGTTAAAACATCACTCACATATTGAGCCAGGGTTCTTACAGGTTGAGGTCAGGGGTCTTAATTTACAAAAGATGTTCCAACTCCTGTCACAAAACAATCTTTATTCTTTGTTCTTTATTGTTGTTTCTCAATGTTAAGGTGCTTTCCCATTTGTCCAGAGGCAATATTGTTGAACACTTTGACATTTTATTTTATAATTTTGCCATAAGACTTTCAAATGTAAAGGTTTTAGGTTTAATCTAAATCAGAGGTGTCCAATAAAATTATAAAATGCAATAACGTGCTTTAACCAGTAGGTGTCCCTTTCTATCAGCTGTGCACCGTTTTGGCGTAAATACAGCCTATCTACCAATTGGATCAAATATAAAAGTCAGCCGAATTAGTGTTGATACTGCAAGGAGACGTATTGTGTGAAAAGAAATCTAAGATGTTGTTTAATTGCTTATATATTTAAGATCCACGTCAAGTTTTCAGTTTTGGCGGCAGTTCCTGTTTGTCTAGAAGTCTTGTCATCAGGGCTCTATAAATAGTTAACTACGGCAGATATGTCATATTTAATGCAGCCGAAACGTATATTACAATGCCGTTATGTGATGACTTTCAAAGAGAAAAGCAAGCACACTCGGAATAATGTATTATTTTTTATTTATTTATTTTTATTTAACCTTTATTTAACCAGATAAAAACATTGAGATAAAATCTCATTTTCAATGCTGACCTGGCCAAGAAGCAGTGGCGGCGCCAGGGTATGGCTGGGGTAGGCTACAGCCATACCAAGAAATGGCTTAGCCCCACCTTAGCCCCACCATGAAAAGTGATGCAAATTCAATTAAATAATAAGCGAAATGCTAAATGTTGAGAACACGGATTGCGAAAATATACGGGTCGTGTCCACAGCACACAAACTGATCCTGCTGTAACAACAAGTGCACGTTACTGATGCAATATGGTTGAGACCATTCGGGCTTATGCTATAAGAGGGATGCAAGGAATAGTCTAAGTAGTGGGGGAGTTTTATACACTAAAGGTGTGGAAATTCTCTGGCGTTATAATATCAGCGCGGCCGCGGTCAGATCAAAATGCCTCCGAATGCAATTTGAATAGACCTACAGCCAATCAGAGCAACGCAACGTTGGATCTGCGTCATGCCTTATTGATTGAGATCAATCAAAACCGCCATTCAGTATCCCCATAGAGTGGCGAAGTCCCTCCCCTTCCGGTGGACCTCCATGGGACCTTATTTCGGAAAAATTATGTATTGAAGTCAATGGAGAGAGAAAGATTATCTTTCGATCCCGTTTGAATCGTGCCACGAATTACATGTTTGTCAATTTAAAAGATAATTTTGCAAGTCAAAAAAAAAAAATGTGTCGTAAAACTGTGAAGTAACACATTTGTTTGTGTGAAACGCTCAATGAACTACATCTCTGGTCAACAACACACGTCACCAAGATGGCCGTCACTACTGTCTTGTCAACAAAACGATTGACTATCCTCACTATCACCACAATGAAACACGTCCTGAAGAATGTCATGCTAAGCTGCCTGCCTGCCTTCCTTTGATTCTCTCTGAACTGCCTGGTCGTTTTAATGTTTAATGTCAACCATTTGTGCAGATAGCATGAAGTAGAGAAGATCGCCGATGCTAACGTTAGCGTTAGCATTTCTCCCCCGGGCTTAAATGGTGTATTATAGAATGATCACACCGGTGACAGTACTATTCAAAGGGTTCACGAAATATGACTACTACTCTTACTGTTTAACATTTTGGGTTACTTATTGTTACTTCATGTTAAGGCTAATAAAAATGACAAGGCTGTAATGCTAACTAACGTGCTAGCTACTAGCTAGGTAGCTAACTTGATCAAGCCACTCCTGGTCCTTTCATCAGACGGGAAGCAAAAGAACGAGCAAGACCCATTGCTGGTATAATAACAACCTGGTACTAAGCACACAGGCATCTTGTTAAAGTTATCTTATCTTAGCCAGCGCCATATAGATAGATTATATCTATATTGCGCTGATCTTAGGTATCTGAATGGTGGAGGAAAACAATTGTGACATCACTTACGCGACTCTGGGATTTGTAGTGTTTCTAGTTACGTATTTTTCATAGTCTTATATTTCAACAGTTTTACGACAAACTGTGACTTTTTTGACATGGAAATGATTTTTTAAGATTGACAAACATCATATGTGTAATTCATGGCACAATTCAAACGGGATCGAAAGATAAGCTTTCTCTCCCCATTGACTTCAATGCATAATTTTTCCGAAATAAGGTCCCATTACCCGGAAGTAAGTGGGCGTGACTTCGCCACTCTATTGGATCTTCAACGTGTACTATCATACGTCACGTTCACAGTGATCCCTTTTTATTTACTACAAGACAAATGTGCCGTTTTATTTCATACAGTTCCATTTTGATTGAGACAGGGAAATAATCTAAACCTCACGCGTGGCGTTTCACTGTCAAGGGGGCGATATAGCGTGTATGTAATTACATTGCAAATACTGACTTGAGCACCACCACTGTATGGGTTAGCCCTACCATAGATTACCCAACAAAAATGCTCTGGCGCCGCCACTGCCAAGAAGGCAGCAACGTTACACATAACACATAACACAAACATATAAAATACAGAGAACATAACTAAGAAAACAAAAGACGAAAAAGCACTCACTACATTGTGCACATTAGGACAGTAAGAAAAGTACACTACCTGTTACTGCAAGAGCAGCTGGTGGTGAGGACTTCAGACAACTTCAATTTAAAACATGATATAGAGACAAATGCCCTCAGTTTAAGGCGTGATTGAAGGTCATTCCAAGACCAAGGACCATAATAAAAAAGACTCCTTTTTCCAGCCTCAGTCCGCACAGCAGGAACCTGGAACCGTATCCAGGCACTGGATCTGAGGTTGTAAGAGTCACAAACTGGGGCAAATCTGACACATATGTAGAATGGAAGCTTACCTAAAATGGCTTTATACATTAATAAAAACCAGTGCTGCATCCTACGCATAGTAAGTGAGGACCATCCAGTTAGGCTATACAGTGTGCAATGATGAGTCCTATAGGGTGCATTTGATATATAACGCAGTGCAGCATGGTAAAGTGGGTCAAGTTTGGCCAAAACAGTGGGACAGGCAAATCTATTGCCTGTCCCACTGGCACCATCTATGTTATACAGTCTATGGTTGCTACAGAGGATTGTGGGTAATGTAATGTCTTCGGCCATCCAAAACTCATAGAAAACGACTTGTTTCTCAGAATTGAAGGGGAAAACGTGACAAAAGCATTGTACACACACTAAAACCTATCAATGTCGTTTAATTAACAAGGATAATCTGGTGTTTTTGAGTTGATGAGTAGTGGAGATATCACTGTCAAATCAATCGACAGTAAGGGGAATACTTACTTCCGGGTGTACAATTCTCC